TTGATTGAAAGACTGATCAATTCATTTAACGATCGTCAAGGTCGCGCAGGACCTTTACCCACGAATAAATGTATATGATTTTTATAAACCGAAATTCTGGAAAAGGTGTCGCCTTTTAAACATTTTTTGTAAATATGTCTAAAACAGTTTTAGAATTTGAATTCGCTAAGAATGAAGAGGAATATTCACGGATGACTGTTATCTTCCGGGCGCATCGTGTGTTACCGTGATACTTAAAGCTACTAAAGCTGGAATTATGTAAAATGTGATTTTTGTGCCTCGAGCTTTCAGCTCCAGGAGCTTATTGAATAGACCAATTTCGTATATTAAAATTCAGCCTAAAACAATGGACCTCACTACGAGGCTCTGGGGAGTAACTACAGAGTTTCTGGGGTTTATTCCCCAGAGCCTCGTGCTGAGGTCCTTTCTTTTAGGCTGAATTTTAATATATCGAAATTGGTCTACTGAATTGGTTTATAGTATAGATTCACGTGACAAAGTAAAAAGTAGATCATGGGCACTCCAAGATTGCCTAGAGAAATAATAAATATTAAAGAGAAACGTTCAGTTATATTTTAGTGATAACGGGCTGAGTATGGAAAGCTGACGAGAAGCACTAGTGCGCTGGGCTCGGATCGAGCGGTCCTGGTTCGAGCCCTGCTTGGGGTCATTGCGTTTTTCCAGGGCAAGACTCTTCACTCTCACAAGGCCTCTCTCCGCTCAGGTGTATAAATGGTTCCCGGTAAATTGTTAAGACTAGTAGAAAACGTAGATTAAAGAGTGCGTTCGAGTTTTCGTAGGTTTGGTATGTTAAAAAAAAAAAATTGCAGGGAAAGCATTTTGTGCCTGAGCTTTTAGATAGGCGTAAAATTGGTCTCCCTTCAGTAGGGGTGAAAATAAATGAAATGATCGCATAGCACGTGTATACGAGAGGGTTTGTTCTCGTTTATACATGTATTATGTATTATATAATAACCCAAGTTATTCTCGCATTTTGATTGGTTCTCGCCTATGATCTATTAGACGACAGACGTACGATTGACGTCATCATTTCAAAGTTTTTCCCTCTGTGTTTAAAAATGACGGAAAGTTTTGAGAATTTAGATAATATTTTACATGACTGGGCGAAAGATAAGGTACAAGAAAGTCTTGT